TTCCCAGTCCGTATCTTCCAAAAATATCTTTCCCAATTAATATTAATTTGTTCCCATCTCCATTTGTATTAATAACCTTTACAACATTTGTTGAAACAGTTTCAGATAACTCGCACCCATACATTTTCGGATTTACAAAAAATTTATTATTTAAATTTTTTTCATTAACTTCAAGTAAAATTTTAATTTTATATACTTTCCATTCTTCTCTCATTTCATACAATTCCATTTTTAATAATTTTATTTTAAAACTTTTATCCTCATTTTTGTTATTTTCTGTCGATTCGACCAAAATTTGTTGATTATTTTTATAATCAGAAAAACAAAAAGTAAATATTAAAAATAATATTTTATAAAAAAATAAAAATTTAATAAAAAACATTTAACAAAAATTATATTTTTTTAATTTTGTTTAGTGAAAAAAATTCTTTTTAAAGTAAAGCTTTTGAATGGTCTGTTTTTATAATTAACTTTATTTGTTTTAGTTTAACATTTATAATATTGAGAAATATTTTTCTTTCATTAAATTCACATGAAAAATACATTGACATGAATCAAAAGCTATTATTTTAAAATAATTAGTCAGGTGTTTTGCTAAATATTTTGCACTTTTGTTTACAAAATTATGTACTTTTCATATGATGTAATTTTATGATTGCGGCATTCTTTTATTTTTAAATAAAGCCTTAATACTTTAGATGGTTATGTTTTTTAAGGAAAAAACAATTATTGTAAAAAAGCTTCTGATCTATAGAGCACTTAACATGAGTTTGTTGTTGCATAACATGAGTTTGATATTTGTTGTTGTATACAGGGTGGGGCAAAAGTTCGGCGACAAATGTTTTTAATAAAATCTATTGTAAAAAATTTTTATTAAAGTAATTTCTCAAAATGACCGACCCTGACTGAAATACACGCATCCAAACACTTACGGATGTTACTCACAATGGTCGCGCATTGTTCATCGGTTATTTCGTTCTATCGGTTATTTCGTTCTATTTTTCGTTCTATCGGTTATTTCGTTCTATTTCGTTCATCGGTTATTTCGTTCGGATTCGGCATACTTTTTGCTCCAGAACTTTTGCCCCACCCTGTATTGCATACTATTGCTATGCCTTAATTGATATAGAAGTGCTGCTGTTGTGAATCCCTGTATAGCAATTGTTAATTTTGGTTGAGGGGGAGTGGTGGAGATGATTTTGGGGGATTTAGATTAACTGAAAAATTTTAATTTTATTGAAATATTTACTATGTATGTTAATATTTTATTAAGTAATGTTATATTGAATTATTAAGTTAATAAGCTTTGAGTATGTTGCATTATTTTCAAGTGCTAAAATTATACGACCATGCGAAAATGTATAAGAAACTCAAAAATTTAGAACTTAAAAAATTAAAAAGAAAATATGAATCTTTGGAATGAAAAATAAAAACTAACTGTCTAAAAATCAGACTAACTGAAAGGGGTGTAAAATTCGTAAAATTAGATAAGACTACAGAGAAGCTTATATAAAAGAATTTAATTCAATTAAAACATTTTTTCAAAAAATATTTAATAATTCATCAACTCCAGTAATTGTTATCACAAAAGACATTAATAACAAGAAGATAAATCAAATTATTCCAATTTCTGCATAAACGTGTGTGTACCTAGTTTTTATTCGAGTGTCGTTAAAAAAGATAGGACCAAGACTGCTACATTAATTGGTTTTTTGAATTAATCCAATCCGGAAACATGTAGTTTTTTCTATTTTTCGGTTTCCTGAATTAATCCAATCCGGAAACATGTAGTTTTTTCTATTTTTCGGTCTTGAACTTCTTGGACAGCTCTAGTTCAAACATAAGTTAAAAATTTAGTTATCCTATTTTAAAACCTTAAATTTAATAGGATCTTATTAAAGGGATATCGAAGGATTCGGACATGATATCGAGGGATACAATTCTACGTTAAAATTAAAAAAGAAAATGAGGAAAAATGTATGTTTAATTAAGTTACCGTTTTCCCGACCTGTACTAAATACCGAGTTTTAATATTTATTTTGAAAACATTAGAAAAATTTGTAAAAATTTTAACACAATTTGATTATTGAAATTGCAAACGAAAAAAAAGATTTTAAAGGAATTTCTTAAATTTTCCATTTTTGTTATAACATTACATACATGTTTTCTTTAATTATTAAAATTTATTATTTGTTTATTCGAATCACCCATTCTTTTAACTTCTCTTGTTATTCCTTCCTTGTCTAAATAAAATTCATAAATCCTTTCATTTAGATATGGATTAATTGAACCAATATAATCACATATTCGATGACTATTTAATGGACTTCCATTGCAAACATTCATTTCTCCATCTCCAATGTCATCAATTTCTGTTTTTGTTACGCAAATTGATATGTAACTTCTTAAGTTTTTCAATACCTTTTTCTGCAAAGCTTCTGTTTTCTTTAAAAGTTTAAACATACATTTTTCCTCATTTTCTTTTTTAATTTTAACGTAGAATTGTATAAAACCGTCAATGAATGGGTGCGCAATAACTACAAAATAATTGCCTGGATTTTCAAATTTTACACAAATTTCAATGTGAGAATATTCCATTTCATTTTTATATTTATTACTATTTAGTGAAAATGGCTCAATGAAATTAACTTTGCTAAAATTATCTTTTCTAGAAATTTTTCTAGGTTCCTCCAGATTCAAGAAACATATTAATCTTGACAATTCATATTTCTTTTTAAATTTTCTTTGTAATTTTGTTTTCACCCCTTTTATGTCAATATATTTAATATTGAAATAATGAGCACTTGGAATTTCATCAAATGACAATTGATTTGCGTCTAACTCGATTTGTGCTTTAAATACAGGTAGCAATGTCATTAACTCCTAAAAATACTGGAGTTAAGAAATTTAAAAAACCTTAATTTTAATAGGAAATTACTAGAGTTCTAACTTTTCAAAATGCCGGGCCCGGGACCCTTTTTTTCTCAAAATCGCACCCGGACCTATTTCTTTTTAAATTCGGTTTTTCCGGATAAAACATGAAAAAGCGGTTAGCCCGGTAAAACCGGATTTCTCAAAAATACCCGGTTCCGGCCACCGGGCCCGGAAAAAACCGGTCCGGGCCCGGCCCGGGTTCGAACTCTAGAAATTACTAACCTGATTCTTGACCTTGAGCCAAGGAAAAATCAAGTAACCGTGAAAAATGCCTTGCTAGACTTGAAATCATGAAAAATCGAGGGTTCAGATTCAGGCCGATTTCTAGAAATCGCTATATGTATCAGGGAAACCCGTTCATAACCAGGGCTAATCGAAATAAAAATATTTTTATTTTGAATATTAAAATTTTTGCCTGCGGGTCTGAAAAGGGAAGAAATCTGTAGCATTTTGTTTTGATACGGACTATATATCCGATACAACGAAAATTTTAAAACTCGACCCGACTTTTATCTCAACACGGCCCATTTCTGATATGTAATGTATTCTAAAATTTTTCGACAATAAAAATAATTTTAAAATTAATTACCTTTCGAGTGTTTATATTATTGTTATCTAAATATTCTAAACAAATTTTAATTCCCAGTCCGTATCTTCCAAAAATATCTTTCCCAATTAATATTAATTTGTTCCTATCTCCATTTGTATTAATAACCTTTACAACATTTGTTGAAACAGTTTCAGATAACTCGCACCCATACATTTTCGGATTTACAAAAAATTTATTATTTAAATTTTTTTCATTAACTTCAAGTAAAATTTTAATTTTATATACTTTCCATTCTTCTCTCATTTCATACAATTCCATTTTTAATAATTTTATTTTAAAACTTTTATCCTCATTTTTGTTATTTTCTGTCGATTCGACCAAAATTTGTTGATTATTTTTATAATCAGAAAAACAAAAAGTAAATATTAAAAATAATATTTTATAAAAAAATAAAAATTTAATAAAAAACATTTAACAAAAATTATATTTTTTTAATTTTGTTTAGTGAAAAAAATTCTTTTTAAAGTAAAGCTTTTGAATGGTCTGTTTTTATAATTAACTTTATTTGTTTTAGTTTAACATTTATAATATTGAGAAATATTTTTCTTTCATTAAATTCACATGAAAAATACATTGACATGAATCAAAAGCTATTATTTTAAAATAATTAGTCAGGTGTTTTGCTAAATATTTTGCACTTTTTGTTTACAAAATTATGTACTTTTCATATGATGTAATTTTATGATTGCGGCATTCTTTTATTTTTAAATAAAGCCCTAATACTTTAGATGGTTATGTTTTTTAATCATTTTTTCCTAGGGAAAAAACAATTATTGTAAAAAAGCTTCTGAAGCATTTAACATGAGTTTGTTGTTGCATAACATGAGTTTGATATTTGTTGTTGTATATTGCATACTATGTATTGCTATGCCTTAATTGATTGCTGCTGTTGTGAATCCCTGTATAGCAATCAGGGATGGGCGAAATTTTGTTTCGTTTCGCTCTTTCGTGCCCTTTTTTCCATTTCGTTTCGTTCGAAACGAAACAGAAAAAAATTTATTTCGTTTCGTTTCGAAACGAAATAGCCAAAATTTTTCTACAATTTTTAGGAAATTTTGTAGGATTTTAGTTAAATTTTTGAATTTTTTCAAACATTTTGCCAAAAATAAATTTATTTTTCGGCGGTACACCTCAATTGAGTCCGCACGATTGAGTCCTCACGATTGAGTCCGCACGATTGAGTCCCCACGATTGAGTCCCGGCACAATTGAGTCCCCACGATTGAGTCCGCACGATTGAGTCCCCGTTGTATATACCTCAATTGAGTCCCCGTGGATTTGATTTAAAAATTTTTTAAAAAATTCCAAATCCCCCATGCGTGATTATTCCAAAAATGTTGCGGGTATTTTGTAAAATCCCACAATTAAAAATTTTATCAAAATTATCAAAAATCTTTATTCAATCTAATAAACAATAATCACTAATTCTAAAACAAAATTCTCAAATAAATAAAAATTCAAGGATCCATATTATAGTTATGAGAAACACCTCTTAAAAAATCAATAATTGGGTGAATAGGATAAGCAACTGGAAATTGATAATTGTGATCAAAATTTGGATTTGCGGCCTGATACGTTTGGACCAACGCATGAATTCTTCTATCGGCATCACGATACTTTCTTCGTTTAGGTGGAGGTTCCATTCCCTGTTGACACATGGCATAATCCGCGTCAATCAACTTCTGTTCTTTTCGTAATGTATCGATGAATCTCCATATATTTGGATGCGAACAACTGAATGCCCGTTGGAGTTTTTTATGTGCAGCTTCTGTAAAATAAGTAAACATTTTTTTGTAAAATAAGTAAACCTTAACCTGCGTAATTATTAGTTCTATCCCCCATTTCAAGTACCCTTCTATGCACGCTCCAGATTGCTGGATCAAACCTCGGTTGGTTTCGCATACCATCCATACGCAAACGGCCAGTATAATTTGTAATAAACCTGAACGTTAAATAAAAATTAAAATACATGACAAACCAGTCAAGAACAGGTTGTAATTCAAGTGGGAGATAGGTCTCTAAAGCAATGATTGCCAAAGATATATCACAAATAGGCAGGAAAGCTATTGAAGTAATTAATTTGGCATCAGCGGCAAACAAAGGATCATTTTTATAACGCTGAAAAATAGGAGTACAAATGAAAATGGGAATAAAAAACAACCTGCATTAAATTAGCATCGCAAATTGCTTTTTTAAGATTCCTAACCAGGTGGAACAGACAACCGGCCAGGTCTGAACGAGGAAAAACCTCCTGAATAGCTCCAATAATTGCTGCTTCGTAGTCTGTTGAGAAAACACGTGGGTTGAACTGCGGCCAAATTTCTTTGACGAGTCGAAAAAAGCGAGCATATGTCGATTTTGTTTTATTCGTCAGCAACCCATAGAGCACAGGGAACACCCACTTCCGTTTTCTAAATTAAAAATAGAAAAAATAAATTAAAATAGAAATTAAAATAGAAATTAAAATAGAAAAACAGTCCCCACCCTTTCCTAATTCCGACTGTTTTTTCTACAGCAAACTAACATCAACCAACCTTGCAAGCACACAAAAAATTTGATAGAATAAAGGGGGAGTAACGCTAAAGCTCCCATCAACAAAAACATGTTCCATTTGTTCTGACCACTCCCCAGATGACATACGACCAAATATGAGGATTCTAAAAAATAATCTATTAAAAAAATAAAAAAGAAAATAAACCTATGTTGTCTTGGATCATTATTTTCAGTATAAACGCCAGAATCAGCTAGAAGAAATTGGTCGTAAAGTTCGTCTGTCCTTTGATAATTTTGGTACCGATCAGGGATTTCAAGTTCATTAATATTTTGCGGGACCGCAGGAAAAACAGCATTTTGTCTGCGTGCCCTTTGAACCAACTTAAACGATTTTTTTAAATATTGTTTATAAATTCAAATACCAGGTTTGTCGCTTTTTTTGTGGGAAGTTGTGCCAAAACCGGCGTTGGTATATTCTCCATTGCATTTGCTCTGATTGTGGCCGGAGGCTCCATTGTTTCAATTGCCCTTCTTTTAATCCCTGTCACAACAACTTGCTTTTGAACATTGTCAGGGTTGACGCTGCAAACGTGATGATTTAATTCACGCAAAACAGAGTTGTTGAGGTCGCTATGTAGGCGAGCCTTACATGTGACATCTTTTTTGTTGAAGGCCTCACATCTCCAAAACTTGATGTCTTCGTCCTTGTTCATTTTATGAAACACAAATAAAAATCCATCATGAACAAGTTTAGGCTTTCCACGTTCAGTTAAGATATCCGCCATCCTGTTTGAAATAATAGATTATTATAATATTACAATTTTGTTCTTTAATTACTCTTTTTTCTTAAATCAAATCCACGGGGACTCAATTGAGGTATATACAACGGGGACTCAATCGTGCGGACTCAATCGTGGGGACTCAATTGTGCCGGGACTCAATCGTGGGGACTCAATCGTGCGGACTCAATCGTGGGGACTCAATCGTGCGGACTCAGTTGAACTGCTCCGATTTTTCGGAGTTCAGTTGAGTCCACACGCGATTGAGCCCGGCATAATTGAAACTTTTTGAAGATGCCCCAATTGATCTAATGGATGGATTAAGGAGAAATTAACAGGGATTTCAGGGGGTTGAGCATTAAGCGAGATTCATATGGAGGGATTTGAGGGATATCTGCAAATATAAATTTAAAAGGGATTATGTGTTTTTAAGTAAGTTTTTAAATATTTTAAACCTGAAAAACATTAAATAATTTAATTTAGTCATGAATTTTCCAAAATTTTTGCCTGCGGCGCTGATAAATTAATGAGTTCTGGCTTCATGACCATCTAAACTTCAAAAAAATTTTTGTCGCGGCTCTTACAAGTGAATTTTTTCTCTTAAGCCCTTCCAAAATTCTCAAAATTTTCGTCTGCGGCGCAGAAAATGGCCAACCTTAGTTAACACATCAGCCCGTCTACTGAAGATGCTGGTTCGCTCCCAGCCGCCGAATAGCCGTTTGTACTAGCTAAAGGAGAGAAATATCTATCTGTAGCCCCGATGCTTTTCTCTTCCATAAGCCTAATAACCAACAGAATTTTCCAAACCTTGGAGACAAAGTTATGTTCGGGCTCGATATTATACTACTTTAAAACGCATCCACAAATTCCATTTTATTTAACTCAAAAACCAAAATATATTTTTATTTTAAAGTTCTGACTACAGAGAAGCTTATTTAAAAGAATTTAATTTAATCAAAACATTTTTCAAAAAAATATTTAATAATTCATCAACTCCAGTAATTGTTATCCCAAAAGTCATTAATAACAATAATATAAACCAAATTAATTATGTATCTTAATTTTTTGTTTCAAAGTATAAATATTTAAACTTGATGAATTTTCAAGAGTTAATTTTCTTAGTAAAATTTAATTTTCAAGAATTAAAATATTCATAATAAAAGGCTTAGAGAGAGATTATAAGCATCTGCTCATTCTATTTTAGTTATAACCAGCTGCTTCATAATATGCTTCTAATTAAATTTAGAATTAAAAATCCAAGTCTTTACATATTTTAAACTTCAATTCTTAAAATACAAAAATGAAAAATGAACATTAAAATAACCCAATCATTAATAAAATCTGTTATATCTTAAATAAATTTAATAAATTTAACAGATTATAAGAGGTTTTAATAAAATATTACACTACAAATACCAGCCCATATCATCACGGAAAAAAGGTGTTAGGAATTTTTAATAATTGGATTAGGAAAGGAGATATCGTGGCTTAATATCTGTCGTTTTTTGAGTGGGCCATGTCTGTTCATTAAAAATTTTTCGTCTGTAAAAATGATTCTTGCCTTGTATACTGCTCCGGAGGGTGTTTGCAACTAAAAACAAACTTAAAAACAACGTTACAACTACAACCGCTCACATTTTATGATTTTTGCACTTTAGCCAATTTCTGAAATCGGGATTACCCCAAACAGATGTCTTGAATTCGTATCTAAGTTCACGCATGCCTAGGTGCGACCTTAACTGTAAGTAGGGCCAAAAACCAAGGCTAAAAGCCAGATTTCTTTGTTTTCTGGCATCACAGGAAAAATTTTGGAACGCTAAAATTAATTACTGCAAAAATAATGACCGTCGTTATCGTGTGTAAGGTGTAAAAAGGCCAAAAAATTAGAGCTTGAAAAGATCACATCCATGACATGCAACATTCTTAAAATTGGAAAAAATTTTAATAGATTAAATTCATTTGCATGTCTAGAAAGAACCTTTAAGTGTGAAAACGAATTTTTATTAAAATTATTATTACGTCAATTTTAAAGTATATTTAAAGTCACGCATTATACTTTTTAATTCTTTACATATTTGATAAAATTTTTAAAATAAAATTTAGAAACTAACTTTAACATTTATTTCAATTCATAAACTTTAAAATTAAATATTTTTTATTAAATTTTGCACCAAAAATGGAAGACAACAAAAGTTTCTATAGCGTTAGTTTTTAATTATTATTTTTATAAAAAATACCCAATTAATTTAAGCCATTTTATTCAAAATACAATGAAGAGGGATTTGTTCCTGAACTATTTTTTAATGCTTTAACTACTACTTTATTTTCTTTATTTATTATAATATCAAATTTTAGTCTTTGCTATATTATTATTAAATATAGGTAAATTATAACTAGTTGTTTAGAATATTTATTTAAAATATATTTGAAATACGGACTCTATCAACGTGAACCTCACATATTTAATTCAGAATTTTAGAGGTCTATTCTAATCACAGTTATGTGCCATTTACGAAATATGGTTATGCCTTGCAATACCCAGAAAAATGTTTAAAAAAATGTTGGGACTAGGGTTAACGGATCCGTATGCAGAGGACCGAATGACAACCACAAGCTCGTCAAACTGAATCGAACTATTCGACCCAGATCGAGGGGCTACTTAACTTTTTTATCTCGGTCAAAGGTTGTCGGATCGGTACCATTCACACGCATTATGCTCAACTTTTAGAGCTGAGTTAAATGACATTTCATTCTTTTGTCTTGGGTTGGAGGGTCTTTTTGGTTTATTCTGTCTGTTCTGTAACTACGCCTTATCAGCTCAAAAAAGCAACTGAAATCATTGATATTTTGCAACTTTTACTAAATTTCAGGAAAAAATACATATAGTACATTAAAAAGCAATACGAGTACCTTACTGTTTATTTATGCACTTATTGAAATTTTATCTCAAATAATTAGATTAATTTATTTGGTAAGAGTATCTATTGGACTTAATTTTCTTCCAATTTGGTTTGCAAAATTCTATATTGCTTATATAGTTGTTTCATATGTTTCGGCTTATTTTATGTATATACTTATGGGGTTTGATCGTTTATTTGCTATAGCCTTCCCAATATTGTAAGTTTATTTAAAAATATTATTTGATTAAAAATAATATTGTTTCTCATTATTATATGCTACATGGAAATAAAGTGAAATTTCGGAGGGAGGGATTTAACCTATTTAACTAATTAACCTATTTAACTAAATACAAAGCTCGCTTGATCGGGGTCAGTGTAGGGTTGAGTTTCTGTTTTCCACTGTGTAGGGTTTCTGCATAAAAATTTCGCTGGGAGCTCTGTCTGTGGTCTGTTACGGGGGGGGGGGGTTGAGAATTATTTCAAAAAAAACTCTCAAATTCACCGACCTTCGGTGAGGAGATCAACCCTAGCCATAAGCTAATTTATTTTAGTATTAAAAGAATATATTTTTATAAACAAATATATATTTTAGTTATAAGAACCTGAACAAAAAATTGTATATTATCGTACATTTAACAACATTATTTATTTTTGATATAACAATATTTTTATTAGAGTTCGAACTTTTCAAAATGCCGGGCCCGGGACCCGGTTTTTTTCTCAAAATTGCACCCGGACCGGTTTTTCCGGATAAAACCGGAAAAACCGGTTAGCCCGGAAAAACCGGATTTTTTCAGACCCGGGCCCGGACCCGGTTTTTTCTAAATTTATTAAAAACATGAAAAAAATTATCACACATACAAAGGATCGGAAAACATACAAAGGATCGATTAAAGGATAGATGAATTAAAGGATAGATGCGCTAAAGGATAGATAGCAGGCGTGTCCGCAGGTGGAAAAAAATTTTCCGCAGCCGCAATCCGCAATTTTATTTTTAAAATCCGCAGCCGCATCCGCAACTCGCAATTTTTATTTTAAAATCCGCAGACGCAATCCGCAAGTCAAACGCAAATCCACAATTTTTTAAATAATTGGCAAGTCAAACGCAATCCGCAATTTTTGAAATAATTGGTAGCCTGGGAAAATAAGGGGATTTGAAGCATTTAGGAAGCTTCCATGTGATATCAGTGATTTGGAGTGATATAGAAGATTGAATTTGAAGGGATTCATAGAGAACTCATGAGATTTGTAAGAACATTAAGGGATATCAGAGAATTAAGCCCTCGATATACTTCTTAATCCCATTAATTTCTCTTCCCTTTTTAAAAATTTTGAGAATTTTGGAAGGCCAAGGGGCCAGATTTCCTCCTTTCTTACCGCCGGGGGCGAAAATTTTGAGAATTCTGGAACTCCAAGGGGCCAAACTTCTTCCTTTTTTACCGCCTGAGGTGAAAATTTTGAGAATTTTGGAAGGCCAAGGGGCCAGATTTCTTCCTTTTTTACCGCCGGAGGCGAAAATTTTGAAAAATTGGATGGCCAAATAGCTATATTTCTTACATTTTTTGACTTCGTCAAAAAGACTCCGGGCCCGGCAAAAAATTACCGGGCCCGGGACCCGGTTTTTTTACACAAAACCGCACCCGGGCCGGTTTTTCCGGTTAAAACCGGAAAAACCGGTTAGCCCGGAAAAACCGGATTTTCTCAAAAATACCCGGTTCCGGGCCACCGGGCCCGGAAAAAACCGGTCCGGGCCCGGCCCGGGTTCGAACTCTAATTTTTATATGGTATTTTGCCAATATTTGAATATAAAAATATATTGGTAACTGGGAATCCATTAGATCATACATTATTTCTTTCTTCAATTAATCCAATAGCTTCTGTTGTTCCATTAATAATTTTTGTTATATCTGCAATAATTTACTTAATTATTGCAATTTTAACTAAATACAAAACAGGTCATTTTTTAAACTGTTTGTCCATTCTTAATTATAATAAGAATGGCCAATATTTATAGAACAGATCCCCTATAATCCATCCAAATCATTCCTTAAAAATTCCACCGTTATCTCTTTAAATCTATTACATTTAAAACAATTCTGTTCCATTTAAGGCGCTGTCATCCAAATCCCAATCCTCTGGAATCCCCCGTTATCTTTTTAAATCCTCCTAATTTCCTTCAAATTGCCTGAGGTACATGATATCATTCAAATCACTATCCCTCCAAAACTTTTATCACAAAATTGATATGGCACTCGCTCACACTTAATGATTCTTAACGGGAAAATGGCCAATGTTTGATAAAAAAATATTTTTCAATTTTTGGTTTTTGACATCTTGCGCTCACCGTGTTTGAATCCTTATCAGGGATGTCATGGTGTACCCTAAACCCGATACCTGAAACACCGCCTTTTTTTCGACTCGATACCCGAAACCCGACCCGAGTGTTTTGTAGAAAAAGTTGATTGGTTATCCAAAATTCTCATAAATGTCGCCTTCGGCGCTAAAAGTGGAGGATTTTTGGCTTAAGGATCTTCCAAAATCTTCAAAATTTTTGACTGCGGCGCTGAAAAAGAAAGAAATCTGCTTGATATAGAGTACTTAACTATTAATCTTCATTTTTCGAACTTAAACTCAATTTCGGAAAATTTTTATCTTTAAATTTCCAGATTTAAATATTCCAACAATGAAAAAACTTTATCGTTCTTTGTCTCTAATAGTTTTTCTTAATATTGGCTTTATGATAGTTTACAACGCAATAGTAATAATTATTGTTGGGGATTCTTTAACAAAGCACGAAATTATAAGTGTAAATTCTTGGTTTACTTTATCCTATTTTGGTGTTATTTATCTGATTGGTTTAGCTGCAAATGCCCCAATTTTATTTATTAATAGGTAAATTTTGAATAAAATTTGAGAAATGATAATAAAACCCAGAAAAGCATAATGCTAAAATTTATTTTTATTTTAAAGTTCTGACTACAGAGAAGCTTATTTAAAAGAATTTAATTTAATCAAAAAAATGTTTAATAATTCATCAACTCCACCAATACATGTTACTCCAAAAGTTTTTATTAACAAGAAGATAAACCAAATTACTCCAATTTCTTCATAATTAAATTATTTTCATGTTTAAAATATATATGTTAGCTAGTTTTTCTCGACATTTTAAAAATTTTATTTTTATTAAGTAATAAAATTGATATTCAATTAAACCACCCTAATTCATCCAAATTCTCCCCATATCCGCGATATGCCCTCTAATCCCTAAAGATCTTCCTAGTCCCTCATACTATATTTCTTTAATCCTTCCTAATTTTTGAATAAATTAACGAAAATATAACGGGATCTGATTATTTTTGAATATTTTTCCCTGAAAATTTATTACGTTAAAATTCCGTACTCGCCTCGAAACAATTCGAAAAACCGTAAATTAAATTTTTTAAATAATAAATTTAATAATTGTCAATATTTTTATAAAAATATTTTTTTTATTTTTTTCCTCATCGTCTTTAATTATTTGTTTGTCCATCTCATTTGCATGTATATTTTAGTGTAAATATATTAAAAATATATTTAGCTTTTGAAGTAGTAGAAACAACAAAAAAAAGAAAAAAATCTCGCGCGGAAAAAATGGACAGTCAAAAAAAGAAAAGTAAAATAATAAAAATATTTGAGACAGTAAAGAATAAAATAATTATTTTATTTATTCATTTTATGACATATTTAGACTAGTTATAGTCCTTTAATTTCCTGCTCAATTTTTATTAAAATTATTTTGAAAATATTTATTTTATAAAAAAATAAAGGTTGATTTGATCAATGACTTTTTGGGATTCCGATAAATTATTTATTCCTTTACTAGCGTCCTTAAGTCGAAATTTTTATAAAATTTTGGCTTTTTCTCTCCTTTAAAATTACCAAGAATTTAATTATTTTCTGTTAGCTAACAATCTAAACTTTATAAAACTGAGAAACTTAGCTTCAGTGAGGCACATATGTAAATAACTGTCAGAGGTTAGATTCCTGACAGGTAGATAAACTATGGGTCTATAATATTAAATCCATCTTACTTCTTAGATTAACCTTTAAATTATTAATCAAAAAAACTCTAGGAAACAATAAAACATTTAAGTTAATTTTCTTAAAATCAAACAAAACTTTATTTTTTACTAGACAACAAATATCTTTTGTTTCGTTCAAAAATAATTTTATTATTAAAATTTTTTACGTTATTTTTCTCATTTTATTTTTATAATTCCTATACTAAATAATTTTTAAAAAGTCCAAAATGTTTTTTAATAATTATTTATTAATTAACTACATATTTATATATTTAATAATTTCAATTTACTGCAATTTAATTAATGAAGTCGTTATTTTTAACAACTCGGAACCTAACGTTCCAAACTATTGTAATAACACCCATCTTATTCAACAATCAGGTCTTATACGTGCACCTATGGGACAATTTCTTGGATTTCCTTGCAGGTAAATTTTTTTATTATTAAGGTATAGTAAAGAGGACATACCCATCCCCGAGAGCTATTGGATGCAAGCATGTCTCCTAGAATTTTTTCTCAACAATCCCGTCATTGAGAAACTCGACCATCCCGTCGTTTCGTTCATATCGGTTCAAGAATTCCGTCGTTTTCATTTTTGTTTTATTAGCTAAACTATAAGATAACTTGCCGGACTTAAGTACTAGATGCTAAACCATCCATATATTTTTTTCTAGGATTTATTTTACAGTTTTTTGACTTTATAAATCTTAAGTGAAAAATTTAATTGATTTATTAATTAGAAAAATCATCTAAGGCTTGTTTCAATTGCCCATAGACAATTAAATTTGAGGTTTTATAGAGATACAAATCCATGAAAAATTGAAGCAATTCCTTTTAAAAAAATAATTTTTAAAAAATAAAATTTTAAAGTAATGAATTTTACCATTGTCGATGGCAAAGCGATGGTTATCGAACATACAGAAAGAATTGTCGAACAGGTTTAGTATATGATGTTATTGGTACACAAAATTGCAATTATGATTATAATGTTAGAGGGTGCTCTACTGGAGATAATTCTGGTAGGTTTTGGATGGTTTTTTTTCTACTAGATTTGGATGAGTAACGGGGAATTAAGAGGGATTAACGGAGATGGAGGAGATATTGAAGTATTTAAGAAAAGTTTAGGATCATGATTAAGAAGATTAAGGAACTAAATTGTGGAATTTTCCCCTATATCCATCCAATCGCTCGAAACCAATGAATTTATTTCCGTCTTCTTTGTTTTGTTGAATATCAAAATTTTATTTTCAATCTCAATCATCTTTGTAGGGAATTAATACTAGAGACCGGACCGAGACGAGATCTCGAATGAAAACCTCGGTTATCGAGATCGAGAATATTTCGAGATCTCGATTCTCGTACGACACTCCCAGTCCGTTCTCCAATTAATAAATACCATTAATATTTTTAAATCATTAAAAATTCAAGTCGCTGCAAATTGCACATCAATTAAAGATTTTAAATGTCCTCTATCTGAAGATTGTGTTCCCCTGTCCAAAAGATGTGATGGAAATTATGATTGTGTATTAGAGGAAGATGAACAAAATTGTCGTAAGTTTTTTTCGATCAAGTTCTTCGAGATACGTTGATCTATACCATAATTAATTTACTTAAACTTTCAAAGTCTATTCATTTTAGCAATGTGTAAGGCTATTCAATTTCCTTGTGTTGTATCAGAGCAATGCATTCCTGTTAGTTTAGGGTATTTTTGTGAAATAAAAAATTATTTTCTTAACAAAATGCATAATTAAAAAATTAATTAAATAAACAGATAGGTCAACGATGTAATGGAATTAAAGATTGTGCAGATGGGACAGATGAATTGGATTGTGAAAGTTTTTTAAAAGAATTGAAACAAAACATTTTTTCTTAATTAACAGATTGTGGTTCCGGCAAATTCTTTTGCCGAAAGTCTGGAAAATGTATACAAGCAAAAGAAAGGTGTGATGGTTATGCTCAATGTCCAAATGGTAAAAACAATAGGAGAATGTTTTGATATGTCTAACTAAGATTGAAAATTCTTATCATTGATATGCCGAAAAATTAGAGGGTTCCGTCGAAAAAACACATTAGGATATGCAACAGGAATAGGCCCTGTAGGATTTTAACAACCGGATAAAGGAACGTGAAGTCGCGAGCGTCAAGCGGAATTCTGCGAAAGGTGTGAAGCCAAAGAAGAAGCCCAACCCTGTCTAAAATTCCACCCCTATATATTCTGCTTCCTCTTACAGCTTTCATGTATACCTAAGTTATTGAAAAAAATTTTAATTAAGGAGAAGACGAACAATTATGTAAAAAAGCCCGTAATTCATTGTCACAAAATAATATGTTTTTGTGCGAAAGTGGCACTCAACAAATAAATCAAAAACAAGTTTGTGATGGAATTGTAAATTGTAAATATGATGCTTCTGATGAAAAATATTGTCAAAGATCTACAGGATTTGATAAACCAAAAAATGAAATCGAATTTGAGACTAAGTGAGAATTTATAAATTAAATTCTATGGAATACTAAGTTGAATAATTAATGATAACAAGTTGAGATTAGCCTTGATCTAGAGATAGATTCTTCTTGAACGCTTAATTTTTTGATTCAATATCAACGTTTAAGAAGTTCAATTCATTCTTCTTTCCAGTCTATAGCGAATCCAAAAATTCCCATAACGTGAAGGATAGAGACAGGAAAAGAGTGTCGTACGAGAATCGAGATCTCGAAAAATTCTCAATCTCAGTAACCGAGATTTTCGATCGAATCTTTTCCATCTTTTCTTAAATTTAATATTCTTATTTTATACATACCTAACTAACTAAATATATTTAATTTAAAAAAAGTTTGGCAGAGGAGCAGCCTACAATAAATACAAATGGGTTAAAACAAAATTCAAATATTGCTTTTGATCAACCACCACAATTGGAAGAAATAAAAGAATCTGATAATAATTTAGAAATATTACCACCATCTAATATCCAATTAAAAGAAAAAATAGAAAGAAAACATCAAAATCTACCTTTACTGAATTCGGTAAGGCGAAAATTTTATCCCAATCGAGGAGAAAACTCGCACACCCCTGGGTACACTGAATATACCGCAAATAAACGTATACACGTCTCTAAATTTTATTTAAAAAATTTTTCCTTTGGGTAATGAACTAATCAAGACCAAATCTCAGTCTTGCTCAATTTCTCAATCAAAGTTGGGCTCTTGTCCAGTTCATGCGTCCCATGAAAATTTATGCGTCCCATGAAGATTTAAGAGTCCCATAAAAATTTTTGCGTCCCATAAAAATTTATGAGTCCCAAAAATAATTTATGCGTCCGATAAAAATTTATGCGTCCCAAAAATAATTTATGCGTCCCATAAAAATTTATGCGTCCCATAAAATGAATTGAAAAAGTTCCGGCCCGGAACCGGAATCGGAACTTAAAAAAGTTTGCTAGCAATTTTAAAAAATTGAATTTTAAGTAGTGTTGTCGGTTTAGCCAAATTCTTTGGTTAACCAAAACCGAGCCGATTAACCGGATCGAAACTTTCGGTTAACCGAACCGAAAATTTTTCCGCGGTTAAGTGATATATGTGGATTAGGAGTGGAAAAGGAACTTCCGGAAATGTAACCTATTTGAATTTTTACCCCAAAATGACTATTGTTTTTGACCATTTCGAGCCCTATATCTCGGTCCACAGGTATTTACTGGGAAAAAGAAGGGTACCGTTCGACTTAGCACCTTTTATCACCCTATATATGACATTTTGAGCATTAATATAGGTGGGTGTAACAAAATGGAAAAGTACCCTCTAGTATAAATGTTAAATGTTATTTTTTTAATTTTTGAATATTTTTTCAATTCATTTCATGGGACGCATAAATTATTTTTGGGACGCATAAATTTTTATGGGGCGCATGAATTATTTTTGGGACGCATAAATTTTTATGGGACGCATAAATTATTTTTGGGACGCATAAATTTTTATGGGACGCAAAAATTTTTATGGGACTCTTAAATCTTCATGGGACGCATGAACTGGACAAGAGCCCAAAGTTGTCCGAATTTCGGCCTTGCCTAATAACCAAGTACTAATTAATTTACACATAGGACAGGGTTTTAGACGACTTTATTCCCGAAAATCAGGAATTTATTTTCCATGTCGACCATATCCTTTATAGAAAAAGAATTATTAATCATTTAAAAATTAAATTCAATTTTTATCAGATAGCTTTTCAATTTGAAAAACCAAAAAACCACGAAAACCTAAACATTCCTTCATTAAATTTAATTCCTGGAGATTACCAAACAGAAGTTTTGAATGAATTAAATAATGAAGAAAATAAAAATATAAATCTTCCAAATTCTTGGATAGAAAACAAAACTTTAATAAATCAGGAAATTGAACAAAATAATTTAATAGTTCAAGAAAATGATGAAAAAGTGAAAGATAAAAATGAAGAAAATAAAAAAGAATTTAATGAATATTTAAATAAATTAAATAAAATTAAAAATGGCGATCTAATAAATAATCAGACAACAAATTTTTTAATTTTAAATGAAAAATTAAATAATAATTTAACTGAAGATGATATAAATGGAGTGAAAAATGAAGCAAAAACTAATGAAAGTAATATCATTAAAAATGAAGAAAGTGGAGATAAAATGGAAGAAAAGGAAGAGAATGGAGATAATAATGAGGTATTAGTTTTATTTAAGATTGTAGAGAAACTTTATCATATTGGGAACCACTAAAGATACCCAGACCTTGTAATGGACATTGATTTTTGTATCCCTATCCGGATATTTATGGAGTATACAGGCGTCTGTATTGACTTAGTCCTCTGTCTTGTCGTGTACAGATTTTATATACACAAGATGTTCAACATCTTTTACAATTTTATCATTTTTCGAATTCAATAAAGAATACAGATACTGTTTTAAGAAGGTATATGATGAAATTATATGATGAATTTTAAGAAGGTATATGATGAAATTACTAATAGATACCCCTCATTGAGTAGATAGATACCCCTCATTCCAATACCCCTCATTGAGTGGGCTTCCATTGGAGACGGAATTCTATTAGGGACAATACGGTATATATAAAATATATTTTTTTATAGAAAATGAAAAATCTAACGTCAATTATCAATGATAAAATTTTTAAACAAAATAAATTATTAATATCTACAACAATGATGCCAATTGAAACTACAAATGAAAATAACCAAGAAGATTATTTAATTAAAAATGTGGCTGAAAAAATGAGAAAAATGGAAGAGTTTAATGAAGAAAGTAAAGAGAATAATGAGGGAGATAAATTAAATATAAAAGAAGACGAAAATGAAGAAGAAGAACAAAAACTAATACTTAAAAGGCTTTATAGTAGATATGGACAGAGAAGAGCTAAGTAATTTATTTTAAAAATTTAAATTATCTATTCAAAAATTTTCTGTAGTTTTGTAATTTATTATAGGTTTTAGGCGATATCTCGAATTCTCTTTCTTAGGATAATAAAATTTATAAAGGTTAGAATTGGCAGATCCGGATTTTTTGCTTTAATAAGAAGTCGTTAGAGATCCTAAATAAATCTGAAATCAGGATATCTGAAATCCGGATTTCTGAGATCCGGCTATCGGATCCGGATATCTGAAGATGATTTCTCAGGATGAAACAATCCTTGAAAACGAACTCTAAAAGATGCTTAACTAGAGTTCAGAAGAAACATAAAAATCATAAAAAATAGTTGGACTCCAGATGTAGGCTATGATCACTAATCTCTGATCAAAATTAACATTTTTGCTTTAATTAGCCATCTATTCCATTATCATATATTTAAATTAGAAAAATAAATTAATTTCTGTTCATTTTTTTCCGGGACAGAGATCTACTAAATCGAATAGAAAGTTTACTATTATTTGTTGAAAATGGCATAATTTCAAGAAAAGGCGGCATAAATAGCTCTGTCAATTCCTCAACAGAAGTAAATTAATGAGCGAAAATAAAATATTTAAAATGATCTTAAAAATGTCTATTTATTTCATTTTAATAAAATATTTCAAAATAGCATAACATGTTTTTATTTAATCAAATATCCCTTCAAGTTCAAGATACAATTAAGGTGAACTTTAAAAATTAAAATCATTTAAAATTTTTCAATAATTGTTTTATTCTTTGACACTCCAAGTGCTTCAAAGCATCCATGATAAAACTTGATACCACGTTCGTAGCCAGAATGCATCCTGTTTCTGAGTATAGAACGCTTCACGCTTAACCACCTTACAATGAGAGAGCGTGAATTCATATACGGCAGAGGTCAACTTGTTACAATTGCTAATAACAGAATCTGTAGCGGCATTAATTTTCTGTTGACAACAAGCTTTGTCGTTTATCATAGAATGCACATGGAGAATTCGACAAAATGGAGCATCTTGCGACAGTCAGAAATAACTTTGCTTCGGATTATCGCGGATTCGGTATCCGTATATCCAGTTGCCAGTGCCACTGCCTTCTGACAGGCGAAATCAACAGTGAAGACTGCAATTGATGTTGTAATGTTGCATAACTGCTTTTTTGCAGCGATAATTTCTGGATTATCTGCTTTCTCATTTCCCGTACACTAAAATTGAGATTAAATAATATTAAATTTGTAAAACATTTCCTAGATAAAATGTCGTTTTTTAAAATTAAATTAAAATAAATGTGGGTAAAGAACCGTCTCTAAAATTGATCAACACAATTAAAAAATTTGAAAATATAATAATAATAGTAATTTTTAGTAGCCACTATTAAATATTTGTAATACTTGATGAGTTAAATTTTTAATAATTTATGATTATTTTGGGGTATTTTATACTAACAATTTCCTATTATCTTTAATATTTTTAAATACCGTGTGATTTTTACTAGTTTGTTTTAGTTTAAATTATTTATATTTTTAAATTAAATGTTTTTTCGCATTCATTTCATATTTTATTATTCATTTATAGAAGGAATTTATTTTTGTTAAATA